GAGACGGATATGATGACCTTGGATGGCTCCAAGACGGCCCGAGAAGGTCCTAACCGTGCACAAGATGCCCCCAAGACGGTCCAAGAGGCCCTCAAGACGGCCTATGAGCGCTCCAAGCGGATCCCCAAGAGGACCTGCAAAAGCAGCAATCGTGAATGTTACTTATGCGCCTTGCAGATCTTAGCGTTAGAGGCCCCCAGGAGCGCCCCAAGACGGCTCAAGGGAAGCAAAAGGTGGCCTGACGAACCATCACGGCCCAAGAAACCCTCGAATCGGCCCATTAGATCCCCAAGACCGCCATTGAAAGCCCCATGAGGACGCCAAGAATGCCGAGAGAGGCCCCGATTGGCCAATAGGGCCCCGAGATGCAGCCAGGAGGTCTCCAAGAGTCAGGCGGGATTCGATGCAAGGTGAAAAGAATAATCTGCGCGCAGCGGCCCGAATAGCAAACAATAGTGGCGTTTTTTGTCTGAACGACTGCGAGGTAGCGCTGTGCACCAACCCTTGCGCCGCCGTTCAATGTCGCCGCGGAGGTGGCCATAACGAGGGTCAGAGTGCCACGTGTGACCGCTATTCGCCCGCGATCCCTCGCTGTATCGAGACCAAAGATGGGAAGTCGCCCGATATCCTTCACAATTGCTTATGACAGATCAGACTTGATGAGTACACGAACCTTCCACTGAACTCCACATAACAAGGAAAACCGAAGAAGTCTCACGAGGCCTCCGAAAAACCTCCATGAAGCTGCGAGGGGGCCTGGGACGCCCCTACTCTACGCCTTTCCCGAGGAACAAGAAGGCCTACAAGCGCGTCCACTATCCTGCCAACGGCATGTCGGAACGCTCAAAAGGCCTCCAGCCTTCCGAGAAGATCTCGACCCCACCCCCCAAGCCCCTGGCGCCACCTGAGATGGCCTGCCAGGAGCTGGTGACGCCAGGGACGCCGGACGCAGCTGCGGCCCGCGGCCGAGCATCGAGCCTGCGAGCGACGGGGAGCTGCAGGCTCCCGCGGCCATGGGGCGCCGAGCGCGCGCCGAGGCACAGCACGCAGCAGAAGCACAAACCGGTCTGAGGTCCGCGCGACTTTCTCGGCGCGCAGAGCGCCCCCGGGGCGGCGCCGGCGGCGCCGCCACGGCCAGCGCAGATCCGAGGCATCCGCGCGCACTCCGAGGGTTTCTGTTCGTGGCGTCCTGTCCTCCTCGAGGCAGGGCGCCGAGCGCACGGTGCGCGCGGGGCAGGTCGGGCGCGGCGCGCACTGCGGCCGCGGAGCTCGACGCGCGTGGAGCGACGCGCCTGCTGGCACACGGCCGGTGAGGCTCAACGGGCTGGTCGCTCCCAGGGTAGCATGCATCATGGTCGGGCGGGGACGTGCAAAACATACCTGGGTGCTCGGCCTTCTGGCACGCCGACCTGTCAGACGGCGAGTATCTCGCCGTGGTGCCGCACAAAGGCGAAGGCGAAGCTGGCTGGGCGTGCCGGAGACGTACGGGAGCACGAATGCATCAGCCTTACTTCGGCATGTCATGGCGGGAGGAGGCGAACGAAGAGAACGTGAATGTCAATGCACATGAGCGGAAGGATGAAGACGGAGAAGAGGAATGAGGAACAGCACCTGCAGGATGCGGATGGAGATCATCAGAAGGCAGGCGGAGGTGGAGGAGCAGACGCCCTCGTCCTCCTCCTCCTCCTCCTCCTCCTCTTCTTCTTCTTCTTCTTCGTCGTCGTCTTCGTCTTCGTCTTCCTCCTCCTCCTCCTCCTCATCCTCCTCCTCCTCCTCTCCCTCCCTCCCCCTCCTCCTCCTCCTCCTCCTCCTCCTCCTCCTCCTCCTCCTCCTCCTCCTCCTCCTCCTCCTCCTCCTCCTCCTCCTCCTCCTCCTCCTCCTCCTCATCCTCCTCCTCCTCCTCCTCCTCCTCCTCCTCCTCCTCCTCCTCCTCCTCCTCCTCCTCCTCCTCCTCCTCCTCCTCCTCCTCCCTCCTCCTCCTCCTCCTCCTCCTCCTCCTCCTCCTCCCTCCTCCTCCCTCCCTCCTCCTCCTCCTCCTCCTCCTCCTCCTCCTCCTCCTCTCCTCCTCCTCCTCCTCCTCCTCCTCCTCCTCCTCCTCCTCCTCCTCCTCCTCCTCCTCCTCCTCCTCCTCCTCCTCCTCCTCCTCCTCCTCCTCCTCCTCCTCCTCCTCCTCCTCCTCCTCCTCCTCCTCCTCCTCCTCCTCCTCTCCTCCTCCCTCCCTCCTCCTCCTCCCTCCTCCCCTCCTCCTCCTCCTCCTCCTCCGCCTCCTCCTCTCCCTCCTCTCCTCCTCCCCCTCCTCACACTCCAACTCCTCCTCCTCGTCCTCCTCCTCCTCCTGCTCCTCCTTCTCCTCCTGCTTCTCCTCCCGTGAAGCCGCCGAAGCCGCCGGAAGAGGTTTGCGGCCCCGCCAAAGCCACACACACAAAACAAAAAACATATCCTGGCGAAGGACCCGACCATATGCAGTTGTGAATACAGGAGTTGTGAGTAATGCTTTGGTGGAGCTCCCTAGCCGCATGCGAACGCAACTGCTGGGGCCGTCGGTGGGCCTCCCTGTGGGGCCACGGAACGTGGGAGGGGTGTGCCGAAATGAGGGTTGGACCGCATGCGAACGTAGCCGCTGGGGCCTTCGATGGAGCTCCCTATGGGGCCACGGAACGTGGGAGGGGTGTGCCGAAATGAAGGTGGAACCGCATGCGAACGTAGCCGCTGGGGCCTTCGGCTGAGCTCCCTGTGGGGCCACGGAACGTGGGAGGGGTGTGCCGAAATGAGGGTGGGACCGCATGCGAACGTAGCCGCTGGGGCCTTTGGTGGAGCTCCCTATGGGGCCACTGAACGTGGGAGGGGTGTGCCGAAATGGGGGTGGAACCGCACGCGAACGCAGCCGCTGGGACCTTCGGTGGAGCTCCCTATGGGGCCACGGAACGTGGGAGGGGTGTGCCGAAATGAGGGTGGAACCGCATGCGAACGCAGTCACTGGAGCCTTTGGTGGAGCCCCCTGTGGGGCCACGGAACGTGTGAGGGGTGTGCCGAAATTGGGGTGGAACCGCATGCGATCGCAGCCGCTGGGGCCTCCGGCGGGGCTCCCTATGGGGCCACGAAACGTGTGAGGGGTGTGCCGAAATCGGGGTGGAACCGCATCCGATCGCAGTCACTGGAGTCTTCGGTGGAGCTCCCTATGGGGCCACGAGACGTGTGAAGGGTGTGCCGAAAAGGTGAGGAACCGCAGGCGATCGCAGCCTCTGGGGCCTCGGGAGGAGCTCCCTATGGGGGCCACGAAACGTGTGAGGGGTGTGCCGACATTGCGGTAGAACCGCACGCGAACTGCGCCACTGGCGCCTTCGGCTGAGCTCCCTGTGGGGCCACGGAACGTGTGAGGGGTGTCGAAATGTGGGGTGGAACCGCCTGCGAACGCAGCGTCTGGGGCCTTCGGTGGAGCTCCCTATGGGGCAACGGAACGTGTGAAGGGTGTTCCGAAATGGGGGTGGAACCGCACGCGAACGCAGCCGCTGGGGCCTTCGGTGGAACTCCCTATGCGGGCAACGGAACGTGTGGAGGGTGTACCGAAATGGGGTGGAACCGCCTGCGAACGCAGCGTCTGGGGCCTTCGGTGGAGCTCCCTATGGGGCAACGGAACGTGTGAAGGGTGTTCCGAAATGGGGGTGGAACCGCACGCGAACGCAGCCGCTGGGGCCTTCGGTGGAACTCCCTATGCGGGCAACGGAACGTGTGGAGGGTGTGCCGAAATGGGGTGGAACCGCGTGCGAACGAAGCCACTGGGGCCTTCGGTGGAGCCCCTTACGGGGCCACGACACGTGTGAGGGGTGTACCGAAATGGGGGTTGGACCGCATGCGAACGTAGCCGCTGGCGCCTTCGGTGGAGCTCCCTATGGGGCCACTAAACGTCTCAGAGGTTTGACGAAATTGCGGTGGAACTGCATGCGAACGCAGCCACTAGGACCCTCGGTGTAGCTCTGTATTTGGCCACGAAGCGTGAAAGGAGTGTGTGCCCAAATATGGGTGGTGAGGAAGGAAGAGTGGGAGGAGGGAGTGGGCAGCGGGAGGAGGAAGGAGACGCGGGGCGCTGTCTCTTCAAAACGAAGACCCAACACCACAGGATGGTTGGGCCAAAAGGGCCTGGCGAAGACCCAACCATATGCAGTTGTGAGTACCGCAGTTTGGGTACCGCCTTCCATGGAGCTCTCTCTATGGACCACGAAACGCCGCACTGGGTGGGGGAGACGCATGCGAACTGCGCCACCAGGACCTTCGGTGGAGCTCCCTATGGGGCCACGAAGCGCTGTACTGGGCGGGTGGGGACGCATGCGAACTGCACCACTGCGCCACTGGGACCTTCGGAGGAGCTCCCCATGCAGCCATGAAGCGCTGCATGTACTGGGTGGGGCTTTTGGTTCCAGGGCTATGAGCAAACAATCCCAGAACTTAAAATCTTGTCCCTGGGATGGAGTCGAGAGGTCCAGGGACGTTGCGCCATAGAGAATTCCAGGGGCCTCGCGCAAACTTCTCTTCCTCGAAATAAATCATGGGACGCATGTAACCCCTACGACTGAGGCCTTGGATGGAACTCCTCATTTGGCCACGAACCGTGTGAGGGGTACGCCAAAATGAATCGCGGGGACGCGTTTGAACCCTGTCACTGGTACCCTGCGTGGAACTCCCTATGGGGCCACAAACCGTGTGAAAGGTGTGCCGAAATGAGTCGCCGGGACGCATGTAAACTGTACCACTGGGGCCTTCGGTGGAGCTCCCTATGGGGCCAAGCAACATGTAGGGGATGTGCCGAAATGGGTGGCGGGGACGCATGTACATTGTGCCGCTGGGGCCTTCGGTGAGCTCCCTATAGGGCCACGCACCGCGTGAGGGGTCTGCCGTAATCGGTGGCGGGGACGCATGCAAACTGTACCACTGGAGCCTTCGGTGGAGCTCCCTATGAGACCACGAAGCGTGCGAGGGGTGTGCCGAAATGGCTGGCGGGGACG